AATTTTTAATACACTGTTCTTGATTCGTTCTACTTTGCTGTTCTGCTGGGTGATTACTGTCCACTTTTTGCATTTTGCTTTACGTACTTAGCAGAAAGAGGTAATCACACACATCTTCTTATCCATCATACGAAAAATACTGAACTATGGCTCATCTGTCTACTACACAATCACCCAGAACAAGCAAAGGACCGAAAGAGTACAGAACATTGCGAGCAAACCACTTATTGCCACTAGACTCAAAAACCTGGTAAGTTATCATTTTTTACCAAAGGTAATTTATCGATTTACCTGCCCCTGCGAATCAAAATACCTATTACATACAACCAAGCATCTGGGTATCCGAGTTAAGGAAAACCTCTCGAGGTGGTTCAACCACTTCAAAGATGAGACAAATGGAATCATATTAACTAATCACCTACTCAACCCAATTCACAAATTAACAAACAAACCGATTTCCAGGTGCTCAATATAATACCCAGCAGCGTACAGCTATGGACCAACAGCGAGACGACTAATTACTGCGGAGGCGGCATGCATATGATTAACATGACCCAACCTGTGCGTAGAGCAAAAGATGATACAATATTTGCAAATACCATGAGCTACCACGGGGAAGGGAAATATTTGATCCAGGTCAGCAGATTCACACGAATAGCATGTGACTATCCACCTGAGACTATGAGCTAACTTTAAATAAACTAGTAAATAATGTACTTTTTTGAACATACGATTGATGCTCGCCGCCACTGGCATGTCCATTACTGTACAAGCCTGAGGAATAAGTTATCGAAAACAAATGTATGCTTTTCGCCTACCGATTTTCATTTTCGTTCTGGATCGACCATACTTGGACATCTTACACGAATCATGAGGATTATACTAGGAATACCTGTGCGGGAATGTAGAATTGCACAACTTGTCCTATCGTGGGGTACGAGTTAATATCATTATGACATGCCGTATATTACATCTTCTGATCCCCATGTTGAGGCACTGTTTCATTTTTGAATGTCATGCAATCCATGCAGACACTGGCACAAGCTTTTGCTTGTGCTTCGAACAAAGAGCGTAGGGTGTTTGGAACAGTATGTCAGAACACGTCAAGTAGAACAAATCTATGCAACATTGCAAAATGCTTTCAGAATCACATTCCATTACCATTAAGTTCAGCGAAAGGGGTTCCCTGACAATGACACCTTACATTGGTGAATCCACTGAAACTGCAATGCAGCCATCTTAGATTCGCCATCTAGTAAAATGAAAGAAAGATTAGAGTATCAGCAGGCGGTAAATACATTTTATAACATTTTCGTTTTATTGCGTTGGTGCTGTACAGATGTCTATTTCTACTTGCTCCCATAATACATATTCAGTTACCATCTATTTGGCTGTATTATCTCCGTCGCATTGCTGCGCTCGATGTAAGTGTTAACAAGCTGCCAAACCGTAGAATAACAGCTACATCGATTTTATTGTCGCCAGGGAACAGTTGGTCGTTGTTGCATGGGACCGATTGCATCGCTCTTATAACCGCGCTATGATCCAAGTGTGGTTCCATGCTTGGTGCTTATTACTACCGAGCCACCACCTTGTGGACGTCTGGAAAGCATGATTCCCAGGTGAGACTAACTGCAATGCTGCTGCTGTGCATGTTGAAGTAACGTGGGCTGGATAAGTTAATGAAACGTGGTTCCCGTCCGCAGACCCCCCGGTTCTATTCCTTCGGGTTTACACTGGGTATGAGTTGTATGGATGGAGCTGAGAGTGGTGCAGCGCAAGCGATATTAAGCGGGTCTCATCGCTCCTTTTAGGGAAAATAATTTTAAGCTTGTGCATTGTTACAACACAATCAGATCTGTTAATTATTTCTTGTCTAATTTAGTCCATCTGTTCTGCAAACTTTTCCTTTTTTGTTTTATAACCTAAATGAAATAAATGTCCGGAGGCGTATCATGAAATTTGGCAGACGTAGGTCTTGGTCTGTGATTCCGCATGATATAGGCTACACTTTTAACCCCTGGTTGGAAAACTTTGTAGGCGTCGACGAAGTTCGCCTTGCGTGAAGACTAGCGAAACAAATCACTACGGCCATCCCACACTTTAAAATCACCGATGGTCGTCAAATATTCCTGTAACAAAATAATCTGGCTTCAGTCAATCGGCTGGAACTTACTACAGTTTGCACGCTCAGTTATATAAAATGTGTGGTGTTGCCTAACACGAAACTGAAACTCTGTTTTGTCCGCTGAACTCTGCCACCAGCAGGTGGCCTCTATACTATGGACACTTGCTGGGCAACAACTTCATTGTTGGTATTTGTTTTGGTTGTGCTTTCGGGCATTTTCCATTGCCATCCAAATCATGTCCTATTTTAATGCTTTAACATATCTTAGTGAATAACAGCGCTCCAGTACCACGCATGAAGTAGACCATGGATGCTCTATAGTCCAAAGAAATTTGATTCCATTTACCAGATTGATTGTTCCCTCTTGATGACTCAGTGATCCTATCCTCACCTCTTTTCATCTTCCAAGCAAACAACATCTTGTTCCTGCTTATACCATTGCATGCTCAAACCAGCATCATTTTATATTTGCTTCAGTCGCATGCACTTTCTCAAGGTCGAGCATCAATCAGCCTGCTCATAACATAAATGTTACGATTATCTTTTTCCGCTACTGTTGCGAACCTAAGCTTGAGTCCTTTCTTGTTTATTATTCTGCTCTTTAGAACCATGGTCACAGGGTTATACTACAAGTTCTTCTGTCTTGACACTTTTCTGCCCACACCGTGCGTATATTCCAGGTATATAGCTCCAAGTAGCAATATTTATATACACTAGGTGCGACGAAACTATATTTAGGTTGTTCCGTCGTTACAAGTGGATGGGGATCATCCATCGATGTCAGCAAGTTTTGACGGCTCGGTAAATCTGGTCTACTTTTACGATAAGCCAGACTTCCAAGTAGAACAATGCACGGCTTCCAATTTGAGTATGGTCCGAAGGTGTTTTCTGATGGCTCGGCATTCACATAAGTACTAACGAATTGTGATGCAGTTAGAGGATGGTACTGAAAAGCTGAGTACCATTTAAGATTGTAGCGGGACCAGTCTGGCGAACTAGGTAGATAGTGAACCCGAGGATTCTATACCCCTTGAAATAAAATCGTTTCCACGAATTCGAATGGCTATATTGTACCAATGAAAACCTGTTTTATCTTTTTACTGAATGAACTGCTCGTTTTAGCCACCACCAACTGCACCTGTTCCTGACTATGCTAACTCCATTATTAGACAGAATTTGGCGAGTTGCGAATCATGCAGATTAACATGTTTCTCGTATCCAGGCAGGATTCTTCGAAAGTAAACAGTAGACCACTTTCAGGTGGCTCTCAGTCGCTTGAGATTCCGGAGCAATCCCATCATGAGTCTTGTATCTCGGGTGGGAATAAATGGAATACAGTTAAATACTTTAGTATGGTCCATGTGACACTTACATGAAAAAGTCTTTTGCTTACTTTACTCGTCTGTTTCCAGATTGAGCATGAACTTTGAACACTTCAGTTTAGTGAAGGTGGCTTCTATAGCTTCATGAAAGCCTAAGTATGTGAATAAATGTCTAATAATTGCATGTGTAGCTGCAAACCGCTAGTACCTATCACGCCTTCGGAGGTCAGGCATGCAAGTAGGTTTAAATCTTCACGAACGAGAGCGCTCAGCGTTTTGCTGATTCGAAATGCATACGGTGCTCATGCGGATGCAGTAAATTCCGGGTAACCTACGCTATGGTGGGAAATTGGGCACGCAGTTTTGGGAAGTATGCTGCGGTTGAGGTTTGCACCCACATGAAAGACCCTACTACCGTGAGCACTTCGTTGTGTATGATTACTCCGCGTATAGTACTGGTAGTATTGGAACAATGGAATATCAATATAAAACAGGTAGTAAGCTCTGGTTCTTAAAAAATCCAGCGAATCTCTTACGGATGGAAGTGCAGCTTTGCATCTACTATATGTGGTCCCATTGCTGTTCATCTGATTTGATTTCAGCCACCCAGTTGCATAGTGCCACACACAAATATCCGCGCATTCCTGCCACATTTCGCCTTAGCGTGTTGGATGGTTAATTAAGATAGCTGCAGCTACTACGTACAGTGGTCAGTAGCGTAAATACTCGTCAGTTCCAATTGTGATCAACACAACCAGTCTTAAATAACTTGAGAAAAGATCAGATGAAGCTACAGACCATGGAACTCTGCCAGCTTCCAGTTTTTGCGGTAACTTTTAGGGTAACCATGACGTAGCATGGAATGTAAAGGTTCCATCTATTCAGATAGGGGGTATAAGTACTGACAGTATTTGGAGCGGTATGGGGATGTGATTATACAGGGGCATACACAGCAAGTAGGTTGCAAATCGGAGCTCGCATTGTACCATCATCGGCACGATCTGCACGATCGATTGCTATCTTCCCTGAAATGCCTCATCTTCATATCCAGGCAACTTGGGCGCTACAGAGTAGAACACTTCGATAGGTATCATGCCCATCGAGCCCACTTTTCCGTGGTTAACTGGATAGAAACAAACGCAGTTGCGACCATGTTCTGTAAGATTTTCTAATCAAACCGCAGTTCCAATTGACACATTCAATAACTCGATGAGCGAGAACCAACACAATCATATTTGGACAACTTTTCCGTTGTTCTGAATGTCCCATATATCAATCATCTTGACGTCTCGTTTCGGGAGTAAAAGTAAGACCCAACCAACGGCCAGTAACTTAAGAAGAAGTCAAAGATTTAGTAAGATTTGAATACATTTATGTACGATGCAGCAAAAGTGTGTTGACACAGGCGGATGATTAAAAATGGAATGTTCTCTACTTGGTTGCCATCTGTAGCCGTAGGATAGAAATCTTTGAGAAAAATGCTCATGGAGTGCAAAAAGAAGGACGGTATGAAGCCCGATGGTCTTGCAGTTGAACATGTCATATCATGCATTGTTGACAGTTTCATTGGCCAATGAATCTGTTTCTGATGGCTGCTTGTTAGTAGTCTGGGAAAAATAACGGGGAAATCCGATTCGGTTGATTAGTCATAACTAAAGACCACTTGTAGCATATAAAGCCAAATTCACTAATCTGTAAGGTCGCTGAACCATGGCAGTAATGGTTTGTTCATCGTCAAGTGTCTATCGTCACAACATTTTCAAGCATTTCGCACGGAGCATTTTGGGCGCAGTGGAGATACGCTTGACAGGAGGATTCGAATTAAAGTGGGACAAGTCTTGGTGTAACACAACATTGGCGGCTCCCACAACTGTGTATTAGTAACCAAGGTTACGAAAGCAAGTAGGTGGTGTTGACACTTACCAACGTCGGCGGTTCTGATGCTTTGAATACACACTTGATTAACAAGTCCGTTTTCTTGTCAATGTCCAACTGGATAAAATTAGATATTAAGGCACATTGGAAAATACTAAAACAAACGTACCACGGCCTGTGTAGGTTTGGAAGTACCGGAGGGAAGTATCGAGGCCTTAATTGATAGTCTGTCACGAAGTGTATCGGTAACGTGTAATCCAAGTGTTTTTCGAACGACTTTGGAAGAAAAGGTACAGTTAGCTCCGTGATGAGTAAAGCTTACCTGTTACCGTCTTCGTCTCCTTAGGACTGATCGTGTCATCATTTGGAACGACTGAAAGAATATTAGATGGAGTATTTATATGGAAGTGTATCATATGTTCCGAGGGATTCGTCAAGCGGAGGCTGGCTGAGCCGGTTACATCGAACGGACCTCAAAGCTAGAGAAGCTTGCGAATAAATAAATACCTTTAAACACGAGTTCAGGATTCGGCTCCACGACCAACTCCCCAACTATCCACGGAACACATCTCAGCTTGTGCGCTCTTATTTTCTTCGGGTCGGCGCACTCCCACTAGATAGGAATATAGTGTGAATTAGTAATCACAGCATAGTTAAGTACCATTCCGTGGAATTCCGGTTCTTCCTCACTCTGCGCTTGTATGCTGTAGATAGTAAGCCAATGTTCACTGTCGTCCGGTTCATCGCAATCAAATGGAGGCAGAAATACTAAGCATGGTAATGATTGGACGGACTGACACAATTGACTTACCCACAAGTTCTTCTTCTTCATCCGCATCGATACAACCATGATCTGGATGTAGATGATACATATTGGGCCGATTGGATTCCACCTTGTAATATACCTTGCTTTTTCTCAAATTTTTCAAGATGACATAGTCGACGGCAATTCTTGTGAGGGAACTTGAGTTCCGTGAAACTGATAATATAGAAGCACTCGATGATCGGACGAAGAGTAAATGTCCATACGTAGATAGGCAGACCACCTAGATCTAAAGTCCCATCGAGTATAAAGTTCACGGATCTCGGGGTCAGGGCAAACATCCTCCACATGGTGCTACCTGGGTGGTTCCGGTTTATCACTATCCAAGCAACACAGCCGCTCGTTTATATTGTTATGACGTAGATTATTAAACTACTGATGTGTTTTATGATGTGTGCGGTTGCCGCTCATTAGTCTTTGTATCAACTTAAGCATGTCAATAACCAAATTTATTGATTTACGTGTCATACTGACGATGTATTTTTACTTACATTCCTTTGCACTATGTCTACTAAAGCACTACACCGCGTTAATTACTGGTGTGTTAGGCTGAGAACATCACCGCCTATGGGCGCTAGTGGCTTTTGATCAACAACCGCGGAGATTGCTGAAACTAACCGATCACAGCCAAACTGAATCTACCACCACACACCTGCAGAAACCATGGGCGGCGGTTCCATCCTTTCTGGAATCAACATCAGTGTGCAGTCCATCTGATCCCCGTGAGTCGCGAACCCTTGAATCAACTATCAGGAGACTGTGGCTCACCGGGGATGAGCGCATCCACCATGACTCAGTAACTCGCTGTGGCATACTGGGATAATCATGCAAGTTATGTGCTGCGCTTTTTGTAAATAGGCAACAGTTAGGCATATGTACTAATTTAAGATAAATCCTACACTCCTGGTCTACCTACAAGTTACAATGATGGGTGCTGCTAATCCCAAGGATTGCATCGCGGAACCCATTGCTGATGTAAATCAGATGATAATACGAACACTGGAATATGAGTCTAATGATTAGTAAAAGTGACTCACCCTCCATATAAAGCACTTCTTCCGGTTCCACAGAGATAAACGGGTCTTCCTCATTCGACATCGCAATGAAGCAGATGAGGTTTGGTGCTGTCGCACACGGAGAATATATGACATCTGAGGTACGATACATTTATATGGACGAAAATAATTGATTATACAGTCAGCACAACTTGCGTTCGTGAGAGTCCGAGACGTAGTCAGTGGACAAACACACGCGCGTGTGCAGACATACAGCATTTTGGCAAACGGTCCAATGGAATGATCCGAAAAAGCAAGCCAAAACCGGGAGTTCTCACCAAGCTCCATCCGAATTTGAAAAAGCACAAGTTCCTGGTTGTGGTTCGTATATTGTGTATCATCCCTGAGTTGTGGGTTTGCAACGAACCAAATGTGGAAACACACCTCGCGGCCACAGAGAATTATGATTTGTCTATGTTGCTTCTATAGCTCCCAGCATTTTTCGGCTGGAAGGCTCAATGGCTTAACAGACGAGGAACGCGCTTACATGGAAAGGAAGCTAAACCATTTACTTTGCTCACTTAGTAGCATTGATAGGTGACTGTGTTAGACTTCACCGCAGACGCGTAAGGTGCACAAAATATCTGCCATTGATACCATCCCGTTCAGAGGTAGGGTGTCTCACAAGTTTCCTAACAGGCGTGAAATGAATAATGGATCAGTGAATTTGAATTAAGTCCTGGTAGCATGAACTCAGACTGGAATACGTGGAAGGTGTTAACACTCAAAGTACGTTTAGCTTTTACCTCCAGCAGGCCTACATAATTAAACAAAAGGGTAGATCGGTTTGAAATGGACATAGAATCAAGCACTAATTAGCTCTCGGCAATGGCAAAGTTCTGTGATCTGCTACTTCCCTTCTGTTACTTGAGTAGTAGGCCAGAGAAACCCAAAAATAAAGAACTTGCACATGGCTTCATACTTCACCTCTGCAGTTAAGTCAGAAGCTTGTGGTCGTATATGCCGTCATAAGAATATAGTTAATTTATGGTACAGTATAGATTCAAAAACGATGCAGTAGAAATGCTCGTTCTTGGAGCAAGCAATCTGCGGTATATACGTTGCATATCCATTCGATTAAAGAAGAAACCCTCGAAGCATTGCTGCCCGGTCATGTGAAAGCTTTCTGAAGAATCAAATGCAAAATCTTACACGGTCAACGGCTTATATACGCAAGACTCGGCTTAGAATACCATATCGTTAAACATTACAAGCCACCACTCCATATGAAGGTGATTCGAAGTAGCCAGTTTCTAGTAGGCCCAAAAGAACCAATTCCCGTAAACAGGCACGGTCACGTAAGCCTTGATGCCGAAGTGGACCTTCACAATAGCCATCCAAATTAGCACTCAGCATGGGTGTTGCACCTATAAAATCGGCACCATGTAGTCCGTCCGAAACAGCTTCTCCATGCATAGGCAATATATTTGACTGTGACCCAATTCAGCCTTTGGGAGACATCTCTTAAATAGTCCTCAGAATAGTATTAAGTCCGTCCCCACGAACAGTGGAAGTTCAGGCTCCACGAAGTTTGCCCAGCCACTAGGTGAACATTATAGAGACAATTAACCAGTTGGTAACATACACATAAACACTAAAATCACTGGCACGCATACACTTTTGCAAAATAGACTACAGGTTCCTTATCGAGCGCTACAATACAACAAGCCGCTTGCGCCTCAGATCGATAGTAAAACTAACAGCCAACAACACGGTTAGTCCTACATGTCCAAGGTTACGGCAAAAGCTGTTGTATCAGGAAGCAAAGCTCAAGCTATAAATGCAAAATGGCTGAAATCAGAGTTATCAGCGAAAACAGTCTTCGGCAATCTTGCGAATGATGCCAGACGCACAGCAGTCATCTCCGCCAGACTCATTGACAAATAGTTCAACTACTTTTCCCTATCCTAATTCATTCAAAGTACTCGATTCGCAACATCACAGTGCGCTAATTCCTACTCCGCTCCTTACGTTATCCTTGGGCAAAGATGCTCACATTTACAGCGCTGGTAACTACGGTAGCAGGAGTACACCAAAATCGCCCTCATTTGCAACAGTTAACAAACCTGCCAAGAGGCACTGTACAGATTAGCACTGGCTGTTACCCGTTGCTGTCAATAATTTACATCCTCAAGCTGCACAACGTTTCTTCAAGATTGGCAGGACCCCCACCTGCACTAACCGTTGGGGGATCAGCTAGATGTCGTTCATACGTTCAACTAACTAGGTAGTTGTATCATCGCGGTTGCAATTGAAGAGGTCAAAAACCGTATAGAAAAAGCACGAGACGCTTTTGCTAATCGCCACCTCTGGCACCTGCGCGATACCACTCTTTGGAGTGTACAAGGAAATCGAACTTTCAAACCTCTTATACGATTGTGAAACATGGCCCATCTATTCAGGCTAAATAAGGAGGCCAGTTACGTTCAAATACACCGACGCCTTCACAGTTTGGTTCATATATGATGGGATAACCGTTTGAAGAGTGAGCGTGTTTGAACCTTTATTTATAGCGCAGGAATAAATACGAACCGCTCAACAACGTTATAGCACGTACCATGCTCCGATAGTCGCGGCACCTGTTGGAATGACAGCCCACCGACTCCAGCGAAGTGGGTTGTTTTCGCACCGGTGGTGTGGATGGAAGAAGATGATGGATGTCCCACCGATTATTTGATTGAGAGGAATGAAGGTCCCTGCTTCAATGTTGGCCTCGGTTGGATCCTTCGCCTCACTGGTTTGGTTCCGAAGGACGGTGAACACGTTTGGCCTGATACACTTGTTTATCTTGCTAGACGCCGACCTCAATGGCCTTTGGGTTGAGATTTTGTCCCGCTTAACCACCCCACAACCACGGTCTCACTTTTCGGCATAGTACAACTCATTTTTGCGGCACCACAGCCGGTTGTTAGCTCTCCGAAACGATGTGCATCTGTTACTGGTGACGCAGCCGACTTGCAACTGTTTCGTGTCGTTTGTTTTCTTTTATATTACGACATAATAGTGTTTTCCACCTGCAGCTAACGTGTATGATGAATGAATGAATGGAATGAGACCTCTCATTGGATTTCTGTCCAACAGGCAACACCTTCTCTTGACTATCAACTCAGTCAAGTAGGCGACAATCGCAATGTACTTCTACTCTTGAATAACCACTAGAAGCATGTGGCTGTCGTGCACTTGCCTTTTTAGGGAACCTGCTGCCTCATCCGGCGCCCTTCTTACCTCTTCTCTGCCAGACGCAAAACAACTAGTTACTGGGGGATGCAGCGCGCACTGCATCGTCCTTCAAACCATGTACACTGCCACGATCCTCCTCACTCATATATATTAAGCTCAGTTCTTATTCCCGCCACGCAACAACAAACTGCTTCCTCATTTGTGGCGTGCACTGCTGACTGTGTAATTAATAACTCACATGGTGGCTCAAAATCCCATGCATCCTCTGATGCAAGCAACACTATATAGATCCAAACTGAGCGTGAATTTGCCTTTCAACCATTTTCTGAAAATGTATTATTAGATATTTCTAGTCCCATCAGGCTGATGTTAACGAGAGTAGACCTTCTATCTCAAGATATTGAAGTTGACATTCTAACTAAAGCTCTATCGCTGGCAAACCAGATGCACCACCTACGACCCTTATTCTCTTTCTCGCATATAACGGAAGAAGGTTTGACTTGCAGTTCAGAGAGCTACTCGCTTCCGCCTGCATGATGCATGCCAGTTGTCCTTTTACTGGTCGTGGTGGAGGCTGCACTATGTACAGTAATAATGCTTCAGGAGCGAGTAGAGTTAGGCTCCATCGTCAGGCTGGTTCAAGGAATCCAAATAGGTGCATGATAAGGTTAATTCCTGTCGTTTTCTTGTTGATTGCATTTACATGCCGCGCGGCACTACAAATGCCAAACGAAACCAATTGACTGTATCGGTTGTATGGGCATCTAAGTGGCCGTTCTCTCAAAAAGTTAACAGGTACCGACCACAACATACCCAATGTTTCGTGCCAGGAACAAACAACACCCGCTGGGTATCGCAATTTGCTTTCGTCAATAGTCATTTCTGGATGGACAAAACTAGTATGCTAGCCTACTAGAAACAGGAACATTCTTGACTTGTATTGTACCTTCAACATATCCAGTGTAAAAGCTAAGACTCGTAGTAATTTCCCTGATAGCGATTCGAAGGTTACCCAACTAAAGTTCAAGGTTGCCCAATGGATGACCGCAAAACCCACACTGCGTCTACCATAATCGACCATATCACAAATTGGACTGGAAGAACTTCCGTATGACTATTAGAACCCTCGACTGGGACGGCTTTTTCCCTAATAACAGCTCACATATCGCTGCTGATGTGTTCTTCTGACAACTGACCTGTAGCACCGACCCGCTTGCGCCACGGCCCCATAGGAAGCAGCAAATTGCCTCGTCCTCGAATTCCCAATCCTAAAGCTGTTGGGGTGCGTTTAAAATTATTGCGCTCTGGGTTCAAAAAATAAATGATTTACCTGCGACCATACAAACTGATAAATTTACCAAGGCCTTGCGTGATCAATATGAAAGATCCTTCTGTAACAAGAGGCGCAATCGAAGGCTTTAGCTGAGGATCCGAGTCGTTCTCCTGTCAAGTGTGGGCGCCCTGCCAGTATCCTAGTCCATCATCTTCGGAGGATAGGAAGTGGTTGCTGGCCCTCTTCTCGTAAAACTTGGTCATGGGCACAACAGGTCTACGGGTCATAAGCTCACAGCTCGATTGGCGTAGAGCGCAAGTGCCACGCAATGTCTCTGACGGTGGGAGGATACCTCCGGTTGTTCAATGGTTTGCTACTGCCCGCCTCAAGCCAGGCAGCCCCTGGTCAAATTGGTGACAACCCGCCAAAAACCCACCTGCGTCTGGCCGTGGTCGCAGGTGCATCCTACCACTGTCACAAAACATATATGAATCGTTCCAGTACTTCCAATGCTGCTTGTGACGGCCGTCAAGCAGATCCCAATCTGTCTCTGTTATCACATTCCCGAGCTAACTCTGCTCCCTACTTCCTTGTGGGTCAGGCTATTGAGCCAAAGGCTCCGAGCGCAGTCC